CATCTACATGGTTTCAGAGATGGCTCCCAGAAGCCAGGTTTATTCAGGCCTCATAAGAATGGGTACATGTCTCTCTCATTCAATGCAATTCTTTTCCCTCAGAATCTGGGTTTAGGATGAGTCTCTTGAACAGATAAAATGTAAACTTGGGAAGTGTCAGTAGCAATATTTTTTTGTATATTCTGCATTAAGAAAAACGAAGCTCTAGATAGAAGAGTCAAAGAAGCAAGATGGAGAGTGTGGAGGACTTTCTGGTTCTCCTCCTCCATGAGTCACATTATCCCATCTGCATCCCTACATTTGGTGTTCATAATTAATGCTACTTTTGTTAAGGGGCAACTGGCTTCTGTTACTTATAATCAAAGAAACTCTAATGAGAATGGTTACTATGCATGAATCATTATATTTTTCAGTGTTCAAATGAACGAGAAACCAGTGCTTTCCCAAGAAAGAAGGCAAAATAGATGTGGAAGAAAGCAACCAGGAGGCAGAATATCTGAGTTCAAAGCCTTCTGTTGGAACCCCACAACCACATACAGAGACTGTTGACATTAGTTCTTAAAGGTAACTAAATTCTGTTGCTCACTAGCTACATGATATTGGGAAGAGTTTTTAACCTTCTAGGTTTAATTCTAAAATGACCACAAAAATTCTGTGAAGGGATGGAAGCCAGACCATTGATTCTATTGAGGTTTCTCCAACAATATAGCCTAAACTTATATGTTAAACTCAGTATTATCAAAACGAATTTTCCCTGAAATTATTCTCGAAGCCATGTTCTGTACAGCGCATGATAGGAAAGCGAACCATAAGAAGCACATACCAGCTGCTAATGTAAGTGATAGGTAAAACTGAAAATTTTCAAATTTAAGTGCCAATTTTGCCTCTTTTCACAAGACATTTTGGCTTTTCTTAAAAGCAAATAACCTTAAAACCGAACATACTCAACTCTCCAATTATTTGAAGAAAATTTAGCAAATATTTATTGAAAGCCAAATAAATGCCTGGCACCATGCTAGCTATCGTGTCCTCACAGATAACTTGCTCTGTGGGACCTCAGTTGAGCTGGACAGCTGATGAGGTTGCACATTAGTGCCTCATGGTCTGGTTGGTGCTTGATAGGAGTGTGTTCAAGGACAAAGTGGGGATGATAAGCAGGCTTGGGAGGCAGGCAAGGGTGTGATGGAAGGTGTGATGGAAAAAGTGATGAGTTTAGCCAATTAAACAAAAGCTGAATGGGGTGGACCAAGGTAGGAAGGAAGAATAGGACCTTCAGGCAGTGAGGCAGCATGCCCAAAACATAAGGTTGAGAACCAGTGTCCAGGGACTTGCCATTCTGTACTGAAGCAAAAACTACTTTTTCCAAAGATATTCATGGATAAAGGATGATTCAGAGGGAATAAGAGAAATAAAAATGAACTCTTACTACAACTGTGGGAACTCCAGTATTTAAAAATTTGTTACAAAAGATAATAAAGGGATCTAATGTATATTGGAGCAATGGAATCCCAGAGAAGTAGATATAATGAATCATAAATGGAAAAGAGACAACTTACCTGGGAGAGCGGGTTGATAAAAATAGTAAGTAATTAAAAGTAACATTTATCAAGTGACTGCTAAATGCCAGGCACTTCATGCTTTATGCACATTGACTCACTTCACCCATCACAACTCTGTGTAGGTTCTATTATTAACCAGTCACAGGAAGCCTTTTCCCTCACTTGCTTATTCCCTTTTCCTGTCCTTATCCCCATCTAAAACACAATGAATTTTTTTTATTTAGTATTATTTTTTTCTTGTCTTGCTACTTCTGATAGAATGGACTCTCTTTAAGGGCAGGGATTTTTGTTTGTTTTGTTTGTATCCCTAGCACTTAGAAAATATAGTAGGAGCTCAATAAATATTGGTGAACAAAAGAAGTTGGAAACCGAGGTACAGAATGGTTTATAACTTGCCCCACCAAATATCCAGGCAGTAGCAGGACCTGAGAGCAATCATGTGAACAGCTAAGAGAGCTTTTAGTGAGATGGTGGTCTCACAGAGAGCCATAATAGAACTGAGGGTGGAGGGGCTGGAGCATCAGCCTCGTAAGAGTAGGCTTAAAAATTAATTGAGTCATTTACTTACTCATTAAACTAGTCAGCAAATATTTACTTAGCACCTACTATGTGCCAAGCATTGTTCCAGGCACTGGAGAAACAGTGGTATAAAAGGCAGAAAGGGTCCTGCACACAGACTGGAGGGGAGACAGATACCAGAAAAGGAAACAAATAAATACACAGAATCATTCCAGGGATGATAAATTCTGGGATGCTAATAGAACAGGATGATGTGATGAAGAGTAACTGCAGGGGAGGGTGTGCAGCATTGTTAGATGTGGCCCTTGGAGAGGGCTTCTTTGAGGAGATGGATGAGCAGATTCCTGCAGCATGAAGCAAAAGGAGAATATAAGACTCAGAACAAAGAAGATGGGAAGGCCAAAGCAGGGGGAAGGCCAGGAGTGGGTATTGGATTGTGGAATGAAACTCGGAAAGTGTCTATGGAGATGGCAGCTCTGCACAGGAAACAGAGTTCACAGCCAAGGCCATCTGTTGGACAAAGTCGGCCAGGACCAGAGTCAACTGACTAAAGAAATTGTTCAGGAAACCATAACTGGTCCGAAACCAGGATCCCAAACCAAAAATACCGCTGCTTTAGGTGACCAGCTAAAGGGTAGAAGCAGAGGGTGCCATATAGAATAACAGGAGGGCGGGCCAAGTCATACTACAAGTGAATTCGGACTCAAGCCTGAAAGTGCCTTACACTGAATTGCAATGTGTCCCCCACAATTTGTGCACACAAATTGTATGTCTGGCTAGAGCTGAGGAGATGAGAGTGGCTTCAGAGAACATCTAATACAAATAATACTTACTTGGGCTGTGAACAGGCCAGTGATCCCCAAGACTGAACTAACATAAGATTCATTGGAGTGTTTGTGAAAAATGCAGATGACTGGGCCTCATTCCCCCAAATTCCCTTTCATGATGTTGAAAATGGGACCAGGAATCTACATCTGTGATGCAAGTGGTCTCCAGCAGGCCACATCTTGAGAAATAGGGAAAAGGATTCACCAATGGGCTATAGGGAGTGCCTGAACTCCTGGGAATGGAATAAAAAAGTATGAGTGTTTGCATACATGTACTTTTTTTTCCTAGGAAGAGGGTCCATATCATTACAAGACTCTCAACAACTTGAGAGCCACTGATCTAGGCCTGCCTCTTGTCTTACAGAATAGGAAACAGGGTCCCAGGAATGTAATTGAGTCGACAGATCCACACACTAGAAGACGGCAGAATTGGGCTGTCTCTCCAGGCTTTCTTCTTGTCAAGCCCCTTACTCTCTTCTCCCACTGTACTGACTATAGGGGTGGAGAAGAGAAGGAGGAAGGGGATTGAGCACTTTGGGGAAAAGTCATCAAAGGCTCACTCTCCCCATTTTGGCCCTAGGTGGGATAGATCAGCAGAGTGGAGGATTAAGATGAGGACCCAGTCATTCACCTGTACTGCCACCCCAAGCCTTGACACCTGTGGAATCCTGCCTCCAGTAGGACACATGCCCTTTTTGTTGGATGTAGTGGTGATGGAGTGGTGCACTTGTGAAGATCTGCCTCCTTATGCCTGAGCAGGTGGGAAGTTCCAGGCTTTCCTGCTTACACTTGGTTTTCCCTCTGCCTATCTCCTCAGGCCAGTCTGGATCATAGCCTCACTTCTGGTAGTATGCTCAGATCGTGCTTCCTCTTAGGTCTTCCTTTCATTCTGGATTCTACGTCACTAACCCCAGGGGGCTCCTCAAATTTAGTATGTGTCTTGCTCTTTAGTTTTGGCCCAAATTCTTCAGACTCTGGCCTCAGCCTGAACTTCTGAATTTACTAGCCTTGTTCCTCTTCCTCTTCTGAACTAACAACTCTCAGACTTGGCCTTTGGCTCTTTTCTGTCTTCACTATTCTGTCCCGGTGATAAGGCCCATTCAGTCCTGGCCCAACCTGGCCATCTTGTCCTCTTACCACCTTCTATTCAAGTCTAAACTGATTCAGAATTCGACCTCTCCTTCTGTAAGATAACCACATAAGAAAGTTGGTCTAATACCCTTTCTCTGCCTTTACGTCCTTGTCCCTTGATCAATGACTTGTGACTCTCCCAAACATTCCATGTTCTCTCAATCTTGTTTCCCGACTTTGCTTGCCAAGTCTCTTTCTCTCCTATTTCTTTTTCTTTTTCTTCCAGTTCTTGCAATCCTTCTCCCGTACTTTAGACCTCCCTTGGTCCTCCCTGGCACCACTTTGCTTGACAGCAGAACTCAGGAATAAAAAGGTGCCTGAGTCCTTTCTGTTGACTAATGCCACCTTTGTTTTGGTGCCAGATTTGTTTTCGAGGCAGATGTCCAGGAAGGCTGGGCAGTAGGCTCAGTCCTGCAGAGCACACCATAGGCAGAGGAAAGAAATCTGCTTTGTAATTTTCTCAACAGCCTTCTCAAATCTGTGGGCGATGGCTCAGATACCTTGCCCTTAACAGACAAGGAAATGAGCTCAGAGCTCAGGAGATTGGCCTCAGGTCCTGAATTAAGTCAGTGCAGAGTGGAAATGAACACAGAGCCCTCAGACTGAAAGCTGTCCAAATAGCCGCATGGAGTAGGATCACAGCCCACTGTCTTTCAGAGCCTCAATTAGGGCTGTCGCTCTGTGGACACTTGATAGTTACTGGTAAGTTGTTTTAGACTTTCCTGATGATTCTTTTTCCTGTAAAGGAGCTGCACAGTGAATTCCTTGTTGAAGACTAATAATTTTCTCTCTTGCCTATGACTGAGGCTGTTTCTCACGTCCTGGTTTCACTTGTCCCAAGGATTGAAGGGCGGGACATTCCCCTTTACTTCCCCCCACCCCATCTGGAGCCTGCAATCAGGACCAATGAAAGCAAAGTACCTCATCCACCCAGTGACTAAGACCTCAGAGTATTTAAAAGGTTGCAGGAATGGGCTGAAAATTGCTTTTGCTTTTTTGCAGACAGGCATACTCTCATCTGATTTGGGCCATCACTGAGCTGCAGATTGAAGCGGGGGAAAATAAGCTCCCAGACTCCCTGCTACCATGTGCTACGACAAATGTGCACGATGCATCGGGCATTCCTTGGTGTGGCTCGCCATCCTCTGCATTGTAGCTAACATTTTGCTTTATTTTCCCAATGGAGAAACAAGGTATGCCTCTGAAGACCACCTCAGCCGGTTTGTGTGGTTCTTTTCTGGCATTGTAGGAGGGGGCTTGCTGGTAAGTTGTTCAAAATTATTACAACCTTAAAAAATTTTCTCCTGGTAAATGTGTTGTTTTCATGGAAAGTTTTCTATAATGCATATTTCCAGATCCAGTGATTTTTGTTCATTCTTCTTTTGAAAGCAGATTATACAAAAGTTGAGATAGATATAGTGTATTAATTTTATTAGATGTCGTTTTACAAAATCTTCTTTCAGTTAAAAGTGAGCTACCTTTTTGCTAAACTCTCTTACTTTACAACTAGAAACAGACACTAGTTTTTAAATCAGATTGGAGAAACTGGCATTTCTAGTCCTGGAGCCAGCAATCATTTAACGTTTGCTCTGGGGAACTAGAGGAGTCGTCTGGGTCTCAGACTAGATTAACAGAGTTTTGGATTCAAAATTTCTGCTCTTTGTTTTCAGCCATCTGCAACAGAAAAAAAATAATAAATTATGAATGCATTGCTATTTAGAAAGAACTATAAATTTTCTCCTTTATGTAATCCTGGGGTGTGGTGTCTAGGAAAAATCCTACAGTTAGCAGCAGACCAGTGTATGAAGCTAGTAGTGGAATGTGTTGTTTTTTCCAAGGTTTGTTTTTAATTGAAGTGAGAAAAATTTGCCTGCCAACTTTGGAGCTGAAAATATTAGCTTTAACCACAGCCTGGAAAGAATGTGGACAAATTTGAGTTTGCTACTTTAATGTGCTGGGATTGAGAATTTTAAAGAGAAGTTTTCTTAAATTGCTAATAATGTACAAAATAGTTTTGTTAGTCAAATAAAGGATATTAAAACATCCAAACTTGATACACTAATTGTGGTTCTTTAAATCTGTTTTGAATTTAAGCATTACTATCATTTTAAAATAATCATTTGTCCTTAATATAATATTACACTGTTTAAACTTCTTTTGATCTCAAACTCAAAGTATTTCTTACTTAAAGAGCTGTTATGAAGCTACAACCATTCAATCATATCTTCAAATAAGCAGTTCACATTTATTATACAGAGCTTTCATCTCTCCCATTTACAAAAATGTTTCAGTTATTCTATTAAAGACTGTTGGTATCTTCAGTTTTACAATGAAAAACAAATGAGATTTCAAGACAAAGTCTAACAGCTCCAAAACAGCATTTGTAGCTAGGACTATGTTAGGAATTCTTGTGGCGTAAACGAACACATTCATAGGTTACTATTTTGGCCCTCCCATACTACAGCTTCACCATAAAAAATATTTTGACACTTTACATGAAAACAAGTAGACGTTACATTTAGATTTTTTTTTTCCTCTTCATATTTTTACACTATTTGAGATACTTGATTAGTGTAATCCAAAACCGGTCAACACCGTCAGAAAGAAATATATTTTATCAAGGATGCTTAACCTGACCCTTATGGACTTGGGGAAAGACAATGACTTTAATTTGCTTGTTTTCTAACTAGATATTCCTGCCAGCATTTGTCTTCATTGGGCTGGAACAGGGCGACTGCTGTGGCTGCTGCGGCCACGAAAACTGTGGCAAAAGATGTGTGGTAGGTACTCCCGTTCTGGTGGTGAAAATGGTTTCTACGACGTCAGTGCCACACTCTGTGGCTCACTTCTGGTGTTTCTCCTTTTCCTAGATGCTTTCTTCTGTGCTGGTTGCTCTCATTGGAATTGCAGGATCTGGCTACTGCGTCATCGTGGCAGCCCTGGGCTTAGCGGAAGGACCAATATGTCTGGATTCCTCCAACCAATGGAACTATACCTTTGCCAGCACGGAGGGGCAGTAAGTAATTGTTCCTTAACAGACCACACGTTCTTATCCACCACAAATGTAGTGGCAAACCTGTCAAACTAAAAAGACATCAGTCATCTGTTCTTCCATCCACTCTGCTAGGTTTATTGGTATGGGCTCGGATACCACTCAGGCAACAAGTGTCTGAAGATAATGCTCAGTCTCTGACCTGGAGAAGCTCTAAGGACTTTTTAATGGAGCCACTGATTGAGTCTTCCAGTTCCACTATTGCTTCTATTTTAAAGATGAGGAAAAGAGACACAGAGAGATGAAGTAACTTATTCAAATTCACATTGCCAGGACATGCAGTCAGGACTTGGACTCAAGCAGCCTGGCTGTAGAATTTGTGCTCACATATAATATGTACACTATTTCTGAACAATGTGCTGATTTTACTATTTTGAGACAATATTATGGAATCTTTATATGCATGATAACTTTGTGAATTTAATTAAAGCCTAGGGAACATACTACCTTCCCCCACACACTTACATATAACATAATAACTATGTACAATGCACCCTTTATATATAGCACCCAGTGCTACATAAGACAGTTTTATTCACGACTTTAATATCAGGATAATTTAAAACGTTTCGTTGTTTTATGTTGATACTTATTTCTTATCTGTATTGAGAAAAGAACAGAAGTAGATGATAGAAACTGATGTACATAATAACAAACAAAATGACATCCTTCTTTAAATTTCGAAAGATTTAGTTATGAAATTCATGAGTATACATAATATGAATAATGAATTTGAATTGCCCTTATATTATGAGGAATTTTTGTCTCTCATGAATTTTTGTATAGCATATAGTGAGGTCATAGGTTGAGTATGAAATTAGATAACCCTGAGTTTGATCCTAGCTCTGCATGTAGTCTCTGAGAAACCAGGAAAACGTGAACTGAATTTTCTACAGTTTTCAGTTACTTCATCTGTAAAATAAAGCCAACGGCAGTTGTCAGGAGGATTAATGAGATACTACATGTAAAATATTTGTCATAGAAGTTGACACACTGTGAGTACTGCCACTGTTAGCTGTTAATATGACGCACTAGCTTACAATGAGTACGGCCCAATGGTAGCCTCCATAGTTGAAACTGGTTATTCATGTATGCATAGACATACAAAACTGCTGCACACAACTATCTCTTAAAAAAAGTCATGACTAATGTATCTGGAATTCAAGGAGAGGTGATAGTATCACTAAATGTTTTTTATAGCTGTTTGACTATACACCCCTTCATGATCCACCCCAGCTTCTACAAGAAACCTTTCTCTGTCTTTCCTCATTTCAACCTGTCCAGAGATTGCAATAAGGTGACTAACTAATGGTGACAAGCTAGTAATTAGTTGTTCAATAACCAAGTAAGCCAAAGAATTTTTCTACATTGTGTTCTGAAATTACAGAGTTTTATTTCAGTGACATACAGAAAGACAGGGCCAGAAGAACAGAATTTTTTGTAATCAAAATTGAACTAATTAGCTCCATGAAACATTCCAAAGTTATTTCTCGAATTCCCTTTTGTTCTGTTGTGGTAGGAAGAAATGATAAGGGAAGAATTACACCATACCTCTTTGTGGAATTAAGTTAATCCTAGATTTTCCCACAGGATTAAATACTATTTTATTAAGAATTCAAATACTCTATGATGTAGCAAAGGTTGAAACTCTGCGAGAGGAGTGAGAGAATTTTTCAGATTGTAAGAATATCCAGATATTTAGAAAGTCATTTCACAAAGTGATTTTGGATTGTATGTGTCATTTAATTACTTTTAAAATGTGTTGATACCTACTATGTGCCAGATACTGGTCTAGGTGTTGGATAAATAATGATGAAAAGTCTGGTAGTTATTTCATGGAGCTCAGACTTATGGAAAAGATACAAAAGTAGGTATTCTCCCTGAACTAGGTTAGATGTCCTTCTTCTGTGGTCCTTTCACACTTAGTCTACTTGATTAGTACACTTGTTGCATTGAGATTGCCAATTGTCTCTCCTCTTAAGCTGTGCTTTCTAAGACAGAGCTCATTCCTGAGTTCATTATTGTATCCCTAACCCTGGCTGGATGGCTAACTAACACTGAGTGCTCAACTCTCTTTGTTGAATTTTATGTTTATCATTGCAACAAGATCTGGGCTAAATTCTCATTTTGTGTAATGACTTGGATTGAAAGAATTTGATATAGGTCACTGAATTGATTCATTCCTTTTTTTTCTGAATGACAAAAGCACCACACAAAAAGTAGCTTATGAGACATCCCATTAGATATGGTCGTGTGTCAGAAATTTCTCTTTGTATCCACAGATACCTTCTGGATAGATCCACATGGTCCCAGTGCGTTGAACCCAAGCATGTTGTGGAATGGAATGCCTCTCTGTTTTCTATCCTCTTGGCACTTGGTGGAATTGAATTCATCTTGTGTCTTATTCAAGTAATAAATGGAGTGCTTGGAGGCATATGTGGCTACTGCTGTACTCATCATCAGGTAAGAACCTCTGTGAAGATGTCTTAGCTTGGCCCTCGTGTATTCAATTACCATAATGCACTAATGTTTTCACCTTAGAGAAAGAGGCAAAATCAAACATTGCTCAGTCTACCAAAATTTATTTCTACATGGTCTTTGTGGCAAAGCATTTAATGCATTCAGTTTTGTTCTCAATAATAAATTTCCTTGAATGTCACAGTTACTGAGTTATCTTGTTTCTTTGTAGTTGGCTCTGTGAATACAGGAAACTGCCATCCACAAATTGCCCCATTTAGGAGTTAACCTACTGCTCCTTTCATTACCCTTGCTCTGGCTGCAGACACTAAAGAAATGTCCTCTCTTTGCTTCTCTCGTGTTCCCAACTAGTATTCACAAATAATAGCCAACATTCATTGCACTAGGTACTGTGCTAAACCCATATTTCAGATGAGACTATGACTCAGAGGTTAAGCAATATGTCTAAAATCACCTAATCAGGAAGTAACAGGCTTCAAATCCTGGGTCATTTTATGCCACAGCACTGCTCTTAACCTGTATGCAACATTTGCTATTCTGTTGGGTTTTCTACAATTTCTTCCTAATAAGGAGTCAAAAATACCCAAATAGCTAAACGTAGAGAATCACTAATAGCCTTTCGATAGCAGCTTATGAAAAGCCTTTCACTGTGAAAGAAAACCAGGAAGCACTTGTTTCCTGGGGATATGATTTCAGAGAGAAATATGCATTTGTTAGTAGTGGGGAAAGTTTTTGTTTCTAAAATCTCCTAAAAAACATATTATTGAATTGATGGAAGTCCAGCTTTGCTCCAATTTTGGGGGGTTTGTTTTCTGTCTTATTCTGTAAAACAAGATTAAGAAACAGAAACTAAGTTAATTTATATTTTCCTAACCATTTACTTCTCTGGTCCAAGTGTTCTTAACTTTCTTTTAAAATAAGACTAAACCTAATGAACACCATTGTTATCATAAAAATCTTTTCTAAACAAATGGAAACTTTCTATAATTTTTGAGGAGAAGTTAAATAAAAACTTAGTTGTTCTTATCAGGCAAGTACAACAAGATTAATAATTTCCTTGGGAGCTCGCCAAATTAAAAAAAAAAAAAGGAGTGGGAAACCTTTAATATGAAGTTGTTTCCAGGCAGTACGGGTGGGGAGAGGCAGAGAAGAATCCTCTTGGGATTACTATAATATAACCTATCTTTAACCTTGAACTTCAGACAAGGCAGAGTTTAAATTAGATGAGGCCTGACTGGACTTTAGCGTGCATGTATTTTGGGTACAGGCAAAACATGTCAATGACCAAAGTTGTTGTAGTGGTTTAGCAGAGTGACACTCTCCTCTCGGAGAGTAAATAGTTTCACTGGATTTGCCATCTGAGTCACAGCAGGGATGGCTTCTTCTCAAACACTGCAGTACAGATCCATTAACTTTGTTTATAAGACAAAAGTGACTTTCAAAGGGCAAGGTTTTTAGTATAGATGAGTCAAGTGTGTAACTTGGTAGCATTTAATTGGAATGCCCACTTCTGTGTGAAACTCTCACAGCATTATCTCTTAAATCCCTAAGATTAAAAACCTACCCCAAACATGTTCAAAGCCAACCCAGCATTGTTAAGCTACAGTTTCCATGGCTCCTTTCTGCAGCTTTTACTCAGAGAGGACAACGGATCTGTCTGGTTTGTTTAGGAAACATTTTGTGAGCATTGTCTAAGCTCTCAGTGTTATTGGCCAAAGCTCTGCTGAAGTTGAGATCAGTTATGTTTGCCTAAAACAGGAATTTAAAAAGACTGAAATGTCATCGTTTGTTTAGCCTGATAGTAACCTAATGCATATTTTATTTTCTTTACAGCAATATGACTGTTAAAATCAACCACCCCAAGACAGAACCACAACCTTCCTTTATTTCATTGTAATTTATATATTTTACTTGTATTAATTTGTAAAACTTTGTACTAGTGTATTATACATCTTATATTCTACTTTTATAAATGTGCGTAAAGACTGGCATCTTCACATTATTTCAGTGTTTGAACTTAGCAAACATTTTTTAAGGAATGAGAAAATAAACTATACTGTGGAGATAATTTACAGATTGAGTGAAGTTCTTCAGTATACCTGAGGTAAACTCTAGCTTGAGGTGATGTTTTTGAGAAACATTACAGAAATAAATATTACATTTCAATTACTATTATATATACATGTGCTTGTTTTTATTAAACGAAAGATTTCTAGTTGCTTTTTTTAAGACCACGAAGGAAAAAATCCTACAACTTGAAAAGATGTTCTTTTCTACTGTTTATATGGTATTTCCCATTTATATGCTTGCAAAATCTCTAACATGCAGCCTCTTTGAACCATTTCACATTCTGAGAAGAGACAGAGCCTTGCCTAGAGCGGGAGGACTGGCTGAGAATGCTCCAGGCTAAATGAGTGAGTCAAAAAATGCAATGCTGCTCATTCTTAACATGTGGAAAGCTTTGTGTCCTTCAAAGACAAGCTTTAAGGATCATGTATTTAAAAATAAAAAGGTCTGGATGATTTTACAGGAAGAATGATGGGAAACAGAATAAAGCAGTTGATCAACATCATAAGAAAATGGAGGAAGGGTAAGAAGGTGAGGCAGGAGGACCAAAAGGAAATCCCCTCAACACTTGCTTGTTTATATACAACAAAATAAAGTATTCATTACCATTTTTTTCCTATTGTTTAGTCTCATTATCCTTTGTTTAAAATTCCTCTTTTTTCCTTCTTATTTTTTTTTTCCAGGCTGCAAGTTGTTCAGCCTCTGTCTTCTGGTTTCTTTATCCCACTTTTTCTTCCTTCTCTTCTAGCTTCCTTTGCTATCCATTCATTGTTATTACTATGCCATTCCTTGGAATCATCATCTCAATTAGGTATCTTTCCTTTCTACTGGGTGCCGCAGTCATCAGGCTCCTGGTGAGGGTAACAGACATTTTCTTTCTTGTTATTTTATATCTGTTGTACAGAGTTGGGCTCTTTCAGATGACAAGATTCCCTGATCTATAGGAAATTGTCTTCGGAAATTTTCTGCTTTTAAAGTTGTCTGATGGTGGCCACCATAATGAGAAGGTATTTATTTCTAGATGTCATGCCTTCCTAACAAAAATATTTATGGTTGAATTTTAAGGAACACAGATGATCATTAACTAGAGGCTTTGATATGCTTGCTAAGTACAATAAGGTTGGTCAAAAGTCACAACATGAAGCAAAAAATTGAAATGAAATTCAGGACACAGAGATAGAATTGATTTTGTTTATATCTATATCTGTACAGGTGTTTATTTGCCTGGCCAACAGACAAGTTAATAAAGAAGTTTCTTGGCTGTTAGACAGCTAAGTTCCTCCTTTCCTAAAGAAGCCCTGTAGTGGTTTCCTGACTGGATGGCTCTAATCTTTTCTGTGCCTCTGTCCCTCTGGCATTCTGGTGAGGCCTACAAACACCTTTTAAGAATACTGTTTAAAAGCGCATAAAAGAAAGTACATAGGATTACAAAGTAAATCAATATATTGAAATATTTTATTAAAATATTTTTGAAAATTATAAGATAGTTGTCTTGATAGCCAGCTACATCACATCAGCCTGTGTAGTTAGGAAAACAGAGATCACATGTGATCTAGCAGTGGTCTAATGAGTGGGTCTAAGAACTACTGTACTTTTGCAACATGGTTACAATTGAAATGAAATTTTGAGTACTTGCAACAATTTTAATGTGATATGAAAATAACATGTAATTTTGTATTGTTGATCAAAGAATGATAAGTATTGCTGATACTACTGTGATTTGTTGCATGCAATCACAATAAAGGAAATACTAAATTTTCATTAGAGGGTAATAAAAATAATGACTTTTTTTCCCCATTCAAGTTTAACACCCAGTTCTCACAAATTCCCATCCATGGGCCTCTTGGGAGTTCTTGGGCACCAGGTTTTTAACCCCTGCAATAGAAGATCCCAAAAAAGGAGGCATAATGATCAGTTATAAGCACCTTGTTTTCCTAAATGTATTCTCAAAGGAAATGGCAATAATAATTATTAACCATAATAATAATAACAGCAACCATTTATTGAGTTCCTTCAATGTGTCAGTTACTGTACTTAGTTTCTACACATATTATTTCACTGAAACCTCTCAACAGTCCTAGAAGGTGGTGTTTGTTCTACATTTTATAGTCAAAGCTAGGAGAGGTGAAGTAATCTGCCCAAGGCCACACCTTTAACAAGTGAGATAACTATGATTCAAATCCAGTCAGTCTTACATGAAAACCCGGGCTTTTCCAGCTCCTCTCCTTGGCCCCTGCTACCTCCTCTGTCATCCTGCCAGGTGCTGAGATCTTATTTGTTCCAATACTGACTCAGCCTCTCCACGTAAGGGGCTTTGACAGGCCCCTGTGACCCTCAGTCATCCTCATCCCAGAGCCTAAATTTGAGTGACTCAGAGTTTCCCCTGGTTTGTAAATTCTTTAATAATAGACATCGCTGTTACCCAGAGGAAATAGCTTATACAATTAAATTTTATCTTAGCTTATTTATATTTATGGATCATACTCTGGGTCTGTAATATTCTAAACCCGTCATTTTGGCTGGAAATCCCCTCAGGGATACTAAAACAGCTCATTATCACTTGGCAACATAGAAACAAAAAAGTTCTCTAGAATCTGAATTGCACACACATGGACTCAATGTTAATAGTTCCCTCTGAGTGCCAATTTAACAGAGTGACCAAATTACAAATAACCAACCGCATAAAGGAAATTGCATGAATTCAAATCTAAGAACATTGATGGAATGTTACTTTCACTACAATTTGTTTCTTATATATGTGTGCATTGATTACATTCCCTCTGATGCTTACCCATGATGGGAACAGGTATGGGATTTGGTGCAACTTTTCAGAAAAGCAACCATCTCTAAAGTCTGAACATCCTTTTTAACCCAATATTTTTACTTTTAGAAATTTATTTTAAGAGAATCACCAAGAATGTTCAGGTTCCAGAAATAATTTGGGGAGTTTTGTTTATACTAAGAAAAATTACAAGAGCCTAAATGACAAGGAATGAATATCTCTGTATCTATCTATCTAT